CAAAAACAACGCGAATAATGACAGCACAAAAACAATACTAGCGACGGTTATGAAAAAGAAGTGGGAAGGTTAGTTAAGAAAAAGCACCAAAAAAAAGCACTAGTGCAAATCAAACGACAAAAGCCACTCAAAAGCAACACAAATAACTCAACACCTGCTTATAATGGAGACACTAAGACAAACGGCGTGAAACGATAGCTGTTAAAAGAAAAGTGGGAAATTAGTTATATGGCAACAAGAAAAAGTACCAAAGAAAAACACAAGTGATGCCAGAATCAAAATGAATGATGAAAGCTATTCAAAGGCAATACAATAACGTGACACCCACCAATGATGGAGGCACCAAGGTGAACAGCGTGAAATGATGACTGTGGAAAGAAAAGTGGAGAATTTAGTTATACAGCAACAAATAAGTGCCAAAGAAAAAATACAAGTGATGCCAGAAGCAAATCAAGTAACAAATCACTCAAAGGCAATACAAACGACACAACAGTCACCTATCAAAACAAACGGTGTGAAGCGATAACTATGAAAAGAAAAGTGAGGAAGTTAGTTATATGGCAACAAGAAAAAGCACTAAAAAAAACACAAGTAATGCCAAAGCAAAACAAACGACGAAAGCTATTCAAAGGCAACACAAATGACACCCAACAATGATGAAAGCACCAAGACGAACAGCGTGAAACGATGACTATGGAAAGAAAAGTGGAGAATTTAGTTTTGTGGCAACAAAAAAAAGTGCCAAAGAAAAAACACAAGTGACGCCAGAAGCAAATCGAACGACGAAATCACTCAAAGACAATACAAATGATGCGACAGCCACCTATCAAAACAAATGGTGTGGAGCGATAACTATGGAAAGAAAAGTGAGGAAGTCAGTTATACGGCAACAAGAAAATATACAAAAAAAAAATACAAGTGATGCCAGAAGCAAATCGATCGGCGAATTTCACTCAAAGGCAATAAATAACGATGACATCCACTTATACTGTCAATACGGCACGAAACTGATACCAACAACGAATCTAGTGGCGAGCGACGACTCCAGTAATGACGGCTCTAACTACGACGAAATTAAGCTGTTAAAAGGAAAGAAAAAAAAAAGTTAATATCAAAAGCAAATCAGACAAAAAAAAAAATCGATAATCGATAATCTTATTTATCCCTGTGACTAGTGGTTCAGTTACGTATGTACGTACATACGTATAACGGAGCTTAAATCTATTGCCGATAAATTAATGATTAACATTTGATTAGAATAATAACAATTTACGATGAAAATTTTTATTTCTTTGAATATTTTAATACAAAATATTTTCTGAAATATAACATACAACTTATTCATCTTGTCGAATTACGAAACCAAAAACTGTATTTCAAAATAAGAATAAGTCATGTTTTAAGTGTACAACACGTGTAAATTAAACATAAAACAAAAACGTGAGGATCAAATTTTAAATGATATTCGCATGCAAAAAGAAATTGCTATAAAATCCGAAGAGCTTGAAATATATAGTTTATGAAAAAATGGATGTTGAGAAGTAAATAACATGGATGAAGCTTTTGTAAGTTTATTGTCATTATATTACGGTTTAAAATTTCTAAATCTAATATGTATTATAGTATATTAATTAGATACAATGCAATTCCTAATATGGGATCTTTGCTAGGAAAATCACCCTTCAGGATTTTCCGATCAGGCCAATTCGGAAAAGCTTGGACCAAAATGCCGCTTCTTATTCATATGTAAACCATTTTTTTACTTTACTGGTTCGACAGTTTATTTAATAAACTATCGAATCAATAAAGCAAAAGATGATTTACATATGAATAAGAAGCGGCATTCTGGTCTAAGCTTTTCCGAATTGGCCCGATCAGAAAATCCCGAAGGGTGAATTTCCTAGTAAAGATCCCATATCCTCTCACATTACGGAAGCTAAAAAAACTTTATAGGAAAATATTCGAATGTCAACCTTAATCAATTACAGACAAGTTAATTTAATGATCGATCTGGTAAATTTAGTTATCAAAATATAGATAAGTACTGAAGATAGTGAATCCTAATCTGAAATTTACTCTTTATGGGAATAAAATTTTTTTCATTTTTAAACAAATTTATTTATTAATTTCATGTTTTAGCCACTTGATTGTCTTGAAAAGTCAAATAATTTCCCCAATCAATAAAAATGGGTCGAAAGTAATGAATCGAACTTTAAACCTATTCAAAAAATTGGTAGATGACATTAAAGATTTTGAATAAGCAAAAAAGCTTGTAATGGACGTAACAAAGTACTTTTTATTAACAGCATAAAAAATTCGAATTTGAAGTTTTATAGGTGTATTAAATAAAATTTTAGGTTGGATGAAAATGCATTCTATACATTTGAATTGAGTGTAATTTGACTTATAATTTATAAAAAAAAACCAATTATTTTTTCAAAAATCTTGTATCTCGTGATTCTATTATTCTTGTGCACAGATTGAAATTTAAAAAGCGATTACATCAAATTATTAAAAAAAATTTGCCGCAGCTTCTTTTTTATAGGCACTAAATAAGTGAAATTTTCTTGATGAATATCTAACCAAATTCTGCAAAATTTTTTTTATTTTAATTATATAGGATTACAGAATTTGGTTAGATATTCATCGAGAAAACATCACTTAAAGTTTTAGTACCTAGAAAAAGGAAGCTGTGGCAATTTTTTTAAAACTTTAAATAAATATTTCTCAGTGATTACATAACCAAATTCGATAATTTTTTTATTTCGATTCTACAAACATGTAAAATTAAAATAAAAAAATTTCATCGAATTTGATCATATTTCACTGAGAAAAATCCTGGTTTAAAATTAAAAAAGAATATTATTATTCTTTTTTTAGACTCAATTTGTTTTAAGCTTTAAGCTGAAATTTCTCGGTGAAGACATGATTAAATTTGATGAATTTTTATTTATTTTAATTCTACGTATTTGTAGAATCTAAATAAAAATATATTATCAAATTTGGTTGTGTAGTTACTGAGAAATATTTATTTAATTTTTTAAAAAAATTTGCCGCTGCAATTTTTTTTATGGATACGATACTAAAATTTCAAGTGAAGCATTTTTTATGAATATCTAACCGAAGTTTTTTTATTTTAATTTTGTAATCCTATAAAATTCAAATAGAATTTGGCTAGATATTCATCGCTTAAAGTTTTGTGCCAATAAAAAAGAAACCGCAGCAAAATTTTTTTTAAACAATAAATAAATATATCTCAGAACTATATAACCAAGTTTGATCAATTATTTTTCATTTTGATGCTACAAGCACGCAGAATTAAAATAAAAAAAATTTCCATCAAATTTGGTTGGATAATTGTTGAGAAATCTTCTCTTTAAGTTAAAAAAAAGAAATTTACTACGGCTTTGTTTTTTTCAGATTTTAACCTTTTTTCAACACTATCTACTAAATTTGATCGATTTTTTATTTTATTTTATTTTATTTAATTCTATTATCTTCTAGAAATTAAAATAAAAAATATTGCTAAATTAGTTATGTATTCATCAAGAGATATTGGCTTAAAGTTTTAATAAACCTCTAAATTTTAAAAGGACTTCATCCCAATGTACTTCAACCCGGGATCCTCCTGTAAAAAATGAATTTCTTGTAGTATAAATCAGGTGTTGGGCTCGAATAAAACTGCTAGTCCTGCAGTCCGTCTTAACTGGGGACAGTTTAGTCTTTTATTTAGAACCAATATAGTTAGCATTAAATTATTTTAACGAACATATAGTCTAATATTTTGTGATTTTGTTGAGTTCAGATTATGTGCACTGTTTTAAAAGTTAATTTTTAGAAACTTAGACAATGATAATAAATTTAAATCAGACTTTTTCTTTAACAAGAATTAGATATACAAATCTAATATTTTAACTAAAATAATTGTCTAGATATACTTACAATACAGGGTTCAAAATTAATATATATTGCTATCACTAGTTTTAATAATAATAGATAGGTCTAAATATTAGTTATGCAATAAAATGAGTAATAAGCTAATAATTTGAATGGAATCTATAATTATAATATGTAAAAATACATAATAATTAATATGTTAGTGCAATTTATATAATATTTAATTAGTCTAATAATTAGTCCATCCAGTTCTATACTAATCAGTCCAAATTTTGGTTCAGTAAACCCAAAGCAAAAAAATTTTCAATTTAAACTACTCTAAATTGCTTGAACCAGAATTGGTTTAAGTTAAGCCATCTCAGGTTTACTTAAACCAAAATATGGTTCAAATAGACCACTATGTGTTCATTTGAACCAGTATTTTGTTTAGGTTAAACCACTTTGGGTTTATCTAAACCAGGATTTGGATTAGTTTAAACCACTCTGGGTTATTTGAACTAGAATTTAGTTTAAGTTGAACCATTTTGAATTCACATGAACTAGAATTTAGTTCAAGTTAAATTATTTTAAATTCACTTGAACCAGAATTTAGTTCAAGTTAAACCACTTCAGATTCACTTGAACCAGAGTTTGATTCAAGTAATTTAGAGTAAATTATATTAGCTTTTTTTATTTTGGATTTTTTAAACTAAAATTTAGTGTAATTTTAGATTGAATTCAAAATTAGTTTAAGTTATATACTTTGAGTTGCTAATAGTATTTAATATTTTCTACTAGATACTAATAGTAAATATATATTTATTAATAGCTATATATCTACTAGTAGCTTTTAACTTATATTATTAATTATAATATAATTTAATATATTAAAATTATATTGTAAATATATTGTAAACCTATTTTAATTATAATTATTTAATAATAATTTTTAATATTTTTACAATATAAGTTAATATATTAAAATTGTTTTAATTATATTTATTTAATTACAATTTTTAGTAATATTACAATATATTTATATATTAAAATTGTATTATAATTGTATTATAAATATATTGTAAAATTATTTTAATTATATTTATTTAATTATAATTTTTAGTAATATTACAATATATTTTATATATTAAAATTGTATTATAAATATATTATAAAACTATTCTAATTATATTTATTTAATTATAATTTTTAATATTATTACAATATAATATAATATATTAAAATTGTATTGTAAATATATTTTAGTTTTATTTAATTAATTATAATTTTTAACATTTTTACAATATAGTTTAATATATAAAGATTGTATTATTACAATATAATAATAATATAAAAATTATATAGTTTTTATAAGTTTAATAATTTATATTATTATAATATTATTACAGTATAGTATTTGTATA